GCTTTGAACACAATAAAGTGCAATAAATTAAGACACTTGGCGGTTTTCTCATCTTTTATTTAGTTGATATGTGTGAAAATATACATGTTTTGGGCTCCTAAGCCCCTCTTCAGCCAACTAAAATATTAAAGAAGTATTCAACACACATATAAAAATCATAAGTTTTTTAGAATTTATAAAAATATCTTGATTTAAAAGAAAGTATACACTTTTAAAGAAAATTTAAAGAAAGTATACACTTTCTTTAAATTTTCTCTTAATAAATCTTAAAATTAAAAGATAGAAACAAAATTTAAAGAAAGTGTATTACTTTCTTTAAATTTTGTTTTATAAGTATATTTTTCTCTGTGTAAAATATCTATATTAGTTTTATCTATATTACAATTATTTAAAAGACAGTGTTCATGAAAGGCAGAATTTAGTCTTTGATATCTTAAATCGGCTATATGTTCTTTCAATCTTATTTTAACTTTACATTTAGTTTCTCCAACATAAAAATTAGTATTTTCACATGTGCATGGAATTTTATAAACTACATTTTTGCTTTCTTCTTTCTTTGCTATGTTTGTCTTTCTAAGTTGTTTCACAGTTAATTAATTAATCTAGAGTGTAGCTTTTCATATGTTGGTACCAGTTTTACATTAATATATTTTTTTTTTACTTCTTTATTAACTTCCTCATACAAGCCTTTTATGTATGGAAAATGAATGCATTTTATGTCTGTTTTGTTTAGGATCTATTTCCCCCCCTAAGTGTTAAGAATTCTATTTGAGTATTCTAAAAGAATAAATTTTCTCTTGAGTGCATTTAAATGTTCAATTTGTTTTGGTATTTATCTTAGTTCTATTTTTGATCTTACTGTATTCCATATTAAATATATTTTGTTTTATATGAAGTAGTATGTTAGAATTGTAGTTAACAGTAGTATTTATTGAACACATCTTTTTTAAACGGTTCAAATTCGAGATTTGTATTATTTCTTTTAATTGCAATATCTAAATAATTTATACTGGTGGTAATTTTATCTTCTTCTTCTATTTTAAATTGACTATTTTTATGGATATTATTTATTATATTTCGGATTTCATTAATGTTAATCTTGACCTCATCATATATTATTAAGACGTCATCTACATATCTTCTGTAGAATTTTATATCATGTGTGTCACTTATTTGTTTATCTATATCTATCATTATAATCACTGCTAGTTTCGGTCCTATTACTGACCCCATACTAATCCCACTATTCTGTGTATAATATTTACTGTTTCTTTCAAAGTAGTTGCTTCTATAGGTAAATTCGATTAGGTCAATTATTTCGGGCTCAATTTTGAGTTGTATCAGTTTAGGTTTGATTATTTCCCATATTATGGAAGGGTACATATCAATTATATCTAGGCTTGCTATACAGTAATACCCCGACTTACGTGAACCTGGAGTTACGCGATTTTCAAATCTCGTCGATTCGTCTTTTGTTTGAGCGCCATGCAACCCTTGATTACTCACTCCCCCACACTGTTGTTCAGCTTACATGTTTGGATGTGTTGTGCAGAATCCATACATAGCTACAATTTATTTTGTGTTATTTATTTCTGTGTTTGTTATATCTACGGAGACTCGAGAGACTTACTATGTCATCTAAACGAAGTAGAACTAATTCTTCTGCATCAAACAAGAAAAGAAAAACTTTATCTTTGGAATGTAAAGTTAACATTGGGTATGTTCGTAAAGTCGAATGAGTTAAGCGAGAATGAAGTCATTGTTATTCCTATTTCATTAGAATTTTCGAACGATTTGTTAGTAACTCATTTGACTTTACGAACATACCCATTATTAAAGACTTTGATACAAAAATTAAAATTTGTGAATTGGCAAAGAAGTTTGATCTACTGGAATTGTCGGTCAGAACAATTATAAAAGGCAAAGAAAAAATTCTCGAAGCTGTGAAAAATGCTCAGTTTTTAAATTCAAGCGTCATTCGTAAACGTCACGGTATTATTGCTGAGATGGAAACAATGTTAAAATTATGGCGTAATAATCAAGTAAATGTGAAAAATTGTAAAATAATATAGGCTTAATTTGTTATACATATATATTATCTAAGATTTTATTAAACATTTTTTTCTAAATTATTGTTTTCTTTAGTCTCTGGCTCCAATTAAAAATTATTTGTATGTATTTATATGCGAAATTATACCCCGACTTACACGAATTCGACTTACGCGGTTACCGCTTGGTCCCACCTATCGTTTAAGTTCGGGGTATTACTGTATACAACTGTAAAATTGTCATAGACGTCATGATATGTAAATTTGTATTATATTATGAATGAGTATCAACGGAGGTAATGATTTTACAAAACTAATTTATGAGTGACATACTAGATGGAAAGTATGGTTAATTAAATACTGTCTTTAATGATAGTTGTACACCAGGTTGTGGAGGTGAATAGTATTTCACATCGGACATTGTTCGGTATGCTTAATTGCCATAGTGCATTTGAGATGTCCCTGACGTCTAAAGTAATGGAGATGTATTGAAGAAACTTAAGAATAAGCTGATATCACTTTAATTTAAAAACTTGTGTATGTATAGGTATGTTTTAAATCAAGATATTTTTATAAATTCTAAAAATCTTTATGTATTTTTATGTATGTGTTGAATACTTCTTTAATATTTTAGTTGGCTGAAGAGGGTCTTAGGAGCCCAAAATGTGTATATTTTCACACGTATCAACTAAATAAAAGATGAGAAAACCGCCAAGTGTCTTAATTTATTGCACTTTATTGTGTTTGAAGTAGCAACAAAGTTTAAAGCGGTTTCAGATCATTAAAAAAAACTACTAGGTTGATTATACATGTTGGGGTTATCTGTGCGCACAACATGATATAGAATTTTAACCAATGAAATTGTGAAATTTTTGAAAATGCAGAGAACGTAAAATCATAGATCATATGGCAAGGAAAGCACATGTTCAAATAAAGCATGTAATTTTGATGAACTTGTTTTTTGTTTTATAGCATTTTTACAGAATGTAATGTCAATTTGTCTCTTAAGAAATAAAAATTTTAATAACTTAAGTTAGAAAAGCGTGCATACTTAGATATTTTTTGAAATATTACCATCTAATTTCTTCTTAACTATCTAAGTAAGATTAACATCATACTCAATAGTTCAGTAGTTAATGTAGGATAATTAAAAAAAAAATGGAATCAGTGGCATTTCTGAGTAGGCACTGAAAAAGAATAAGAAGCATTTTCTCTCTTGAAATATTCTTTCCCAAGATAGAGAATGTTTTGTAATGCAATCATACAACACGAGTAGCATCCAGTCATCCATACTGGATATAACAAAATTGAGGCAAAAGATGATTGGCAGGTCGAAAGACAACTATCCATTGTCTCTGATAAATGAAAGAAGCGAAGAGAGAAAAAGTTGTCCAGAATCGCATTTAGAGAGATGCGATGATCTCTTGAGATGTAAACAAATGATTAACCAATCAGTGACTGGCTTACGAGAGACGATGACCAGAATACAACTCCAAGACTATAGGGAGAATGCTCTGCTCTAATGCTTCAAAACAAAGTTTTTGGAGAGTGTCGATAGTGTGGATAGCCATGTGGGATAGCTCATACACTGCTAACCACACTGTCGACATACTCATGAAATTTTTATTTATACTTATTTTTAGTTTATTGAAATGCAAACCTAAACTTATATTGTTCCTTACAGACTGATGATGTATTGTGTAATCCATGTTTGACTCTAAGTTGTTGTTGTAATAATTTGTACATTTTAGTTTATTAAATTTAATAGTCAGTTATTCAGTTTACATAATTCTGACAGAAAGTTTTTCTGAATTTTGAATAGCAAGTTCTAAAAACTGAAAAATCAGGAATACATTATAATGTTTAGTGTTACTTTAAATAAATATAGTAAATATTACTTAGATATGAAAAAGATTGTCAATAATTATCACTCAAATTATCAGGTTATTTATTTATATATACTTGATTCATTAAAAGCAAAAATAATTCATTATTTTTTTGTGTTTTGTTCTGTTTTCTACATGACTTATATATTCAGAGCCGGCCCTACCGTAGGGCAAACGGAGCAGCCGCTCCAGGTGCTAAGTCCTAGGGGGCACCTCAGTGGTAAAGAAAATTAAAGTGTATAAATTAGGGGCAACCGAGGCGGCGCCATAATAGGATCTTGCTCCATCTTAAAACTTGCCTCAGGCTGTATATACTGGTACTGTATATACTGTATATACAGCACTGTATATACTGGTGCTTAGTCGAAGCTAGATCAAGCTCAAAGCATAACTATAGAAAAAAAAATTTTTATGTGCTGTTCATGTATGTATTTGTCACACAGGAAATTCTGAAACATGTTTAGTATGACAGCCTTCTGTAGTATGATGTATGTACTTTTGTAAAGTCCTAATGTTTCAAGACTTTTGTTAATATATGTGATATGACATCTGTGCAAAAAGGATTACTAGCACAATAAGTACCTTTATCCATTCCCCACAGATGCTTTATTTTGTGGGCACGTTATTGATTATTATTATTTAAATTTATAGAATTGTTTATTAAATAAATTTATTTGTATCACATGGAGAATGTAGATCAAATATTTGCTTTCTATATATTTGATGTAAAAATAACCTGTTAAATTGTTTTATTCTGCTATTAAACTATTTTTTTAATATTGCAATGAAACTAATTTCAATTTATCAGTTAATATTTCATGTTACTCAAATGCTATCCAAGATTAATCCTTTCTTAAAAACAAATCAGTTTCCAAAAATTGTTTTTATCCTTTTATTTTTTATTCATTGTTGAATTGTGTTTATTTAAATAAAATTATAATCAAACTTTATTTAAAGTAAATCTTGAAATTATTTTAAAATAAAGTATCTTAATTTGTTTACAATAATAATTAAATTTAGTTTAGTTACAAATTGTATTCACTTTCAAACTAATTTTTACATTTAGGTATTTAGTTGATAACAAATGGTTCAAACAATGGAGAAAGTATGTAGGATATGATAGCTGGGATACAAGTAATATAGGAGAGAATACAATTCATCCTGGACCAATAGATAATAGTTCCCTATTTAGAGGTTAGTATTAATATTAAAATATTAGTTTTTATGATGTAAATAAATAAAAATTAATAACTTTGTACTTTATGAATGAAATTTATTTATCCTGATATTTTTTAAAGATAGCTGTGTATATGACATATTATAGTATTATTAATAAACTCTTTACAGACAACTTTTATTGCATTTGTATAAAAATTTTTATAGCTTTAAGATTGATATTTAGTTTGTGTAATTGTTTTCAGTTTTTACAAAGAATTTATTTTAATTTATTGATATTTTTTATGATGATTTTTTTTAAATATTACCTATACAAATTACAATTATTTTTTTTTTTAATTAATGTAATTACAATAATTGTAATTTGTATAGGTAATATTTAAAAAAATCATCATAAAAAATATCAATAAATTAAATTCTGATCAAATTTTAAAGTAGAAAAAGAAACTAACTTGAAACTTTGTCCCAATTGTCAATCTTTTTGTCATTATCACCTCTAGCTTGGATCAAAGTCATTTATAACATAGAATAACAATAAAATATTCCTGTAGAATAACAATACATAATAACTATCATACTTGTGGGAAACTATAAAACTTTCAGTTTAATGGGAAAGTTTTCTCATCTGTTGAACATAAAACAAAAAATATATATAGGAATTTATAAACTATATACAATTTTAACTTTTTTCTTTTTAATAAATTTATATAATAATTGGGAGAGAGGAAACTGATTTAATTTAAAATGTTAATGGTAAAAATTGCTGTTAAATTAACATGAGAAGAGAGTTTATATCAAAACACAGTGTTTACAGCAGTTCTTACCAGTATGCTAATAAGTCTGTAACTTGTTAAAATAAGTTAATTTTTTTTCAAAATTAAGCAAATTATTGATTTTTTTTTCTAATAGCAAAGAATCATTTTAATCAAAACAAAATCAATACTTGTTGTTACATTATGAAATTATAATTTCAAAAAATTTTGTATATGGTTTAATTTACAAAATAAAAATAATAATAATAATAATTTATCATTAGCTTTACAGGTCATTGCTCACTGTTTTTTTTTAATTTCCTGGCTGTTATGTATATGTAACAACGGAAAGTATTGGAATTGTGTCAAATTTGACTTGCAGAGTTGTTTTTGCAAATCTCCACATTTTGAAACTCCCTGAATCCAAAAAAGTAAAAAAAAAAAAAATGGCAAAAAAAATTGTGTGTGTGTTGGCATCTAATTTGCTTAATATCTCAGGATGGGATAAAAATTAATTAAAATTTGGTAAGTTGGCTTGTTTATGAGGGTCATTGATGATATTAAATTTTGGTGGTTAAAGGTTGAGAGGAGGGCCATGTGCATCTCCAGAAGGATCAGACTTAATGATGATTTTACTCATTATTAACATTTATTCTTTTTATAAAACTCATCTCTACTGTCAAAATGAAGCTTTTTGCCATTTTATAGTAACTAAAAATATAAAAAGTTTTCATAATAAAATCTCATAACAGATGGTGCCACACAAGTTATATTGTAATTAAAATTATAAAACTTATTTTCTAAATAAGATCTCAGATAGCTGGGTAAGTTATGCAACTGCTGCTGGATTTTTTAAAAAATGTATTAAATAAAAATATAAATAAGAATGTCGTTAAATAATCCTGATTTGTTTTCTGTAATTCTATATAAAATCTAGTTACTACTAAAATTCTAGACTGATGGTTGGGCTGCACTTTGAAAAAATTGTAAGCCTATAAATTCCCACTGTCGTCTATTTGTTGTCCATCCTTAATCTTAAATAATGTTAGATAGATAAAAGTGAAAACCAGATACGGAAAACTTAGGGGCAGGAGACACTGATTAACTATATATGAACTTCTGGTTTGGAAAGGAAGTTACGTTATTTCAATTCAGAAATTTTCTTCTGGCATGATTGTTGTTATTAGGAAAAGTGTGAATACAGGGGTAAGAGACTACTAATTTGAGGAGGAGAGCATATATTTTAAATTAAATAAATTAAAAATACAATTAAAAATTGCAGCCTATTATTGTGATGATATCACAATAAATATTTTCTCATTTTTTACTATTATTTCACAGACAAGGATTTATCTTCACATTTTGAATCAACTGTTTAAGATTATTTTTTATACAGTTATGTTGGTAATTGCTATTTGTGTTATTTTACAGATATATTGTTATACTTCATAATGAGCACACAAGTATGTTGTTTGTTAATGTTAGATGTCAGCATGAAATAAATAAAAATTTTATATGGAAATGTTATTGCTTTGTTTGAAAAGAAATGTCACTGTAGATTTTTTAAAATAAATTAAAACATTCCAGAAGCTGGAACTGTAAATAATAACTTACAATTGAACACTTCTTCCACCGGATACCATTTTATTGGAATGCAAACAACCTATTCGGAGATATTAACTATACAATAAGTAAATTAAACATGAAACTTTTTTGACTTGTTTTGTTTCGAAAATCAGTTTAGTTCTAAAATTTTTTACATAATTTAAAAATATACTGTTTAAAAACATAGAGAGAATTTATCATTAAAAACAATGGTAAAATCAATCTGGAATTAGAAAAACCAAATTTGAAAGATTTGAATAACACAATAAAAAATATTATACATTTTTGTTTTCTTGATGATCAATTTTTTTTTTTTGTTTGATTTGTAGCTCTATTAAAATTGTTATCACTATTTTAAAAATTGTTTAGATTCAAGTGTTGAATTGATTATTGAGATATAATAAAATTTTGTGAATAAATTACTTGGATCTGTACAGTTGACCCCCACCCTATAATGCGGTAGATACGTTCTGCTTTATAAGAATTTCGTGTTGTAGGAATCCTTAAATACATGAGTCAATCACAGCCCGGCACATGTGCAGTTTATGGACTACAGCTGTTTGAAAGGTTTTCTTCCATAAAATTAATCGATTCTAGACTAATTTGACTCAACATTTCCAAAACATGTATAATTTTTTGGGAATAATCCGTATAAACTATGCTATAAACAAAAAATTGTAGGATTACTTACCAAGTGTGCACCATTTAACGACACTATTGCTTAAGCTTGTTTTCGTCGCAGAGCAGCGCACCAAATGGTGGGCGTGTTTTCTAATAATTTATTTTTCTGCAAAAAATTCGCTGAACTTTGGAGACATCATTAATAGAAATCATTTTTATGGCCGTTGAATAAGAAATGTTTTTTTCACAAGAAATGTATAAAATTACAGTACTGTATTAGACTTACAGTACCTAATTTATATACTATAAACTCAACTTACCTGCCTAAACTCTCCGTAGCATGTAAGTAGTTTGGCTGCTCGTCCACTATTGGTCCAGATTCGACCAATCCTGTCGTGACACAAGTTGGCGATGACGTTTTACCGCATTTTACAATTCTCTTTTAGTGTCTTTATATGAATATGGTCGCAATTTTTTCATCGCAATGTACGAATCTGCATTATATGAACCTGCGTTATAGGGGGGTCTACTGTATCTGTGTTTTTAACAAATTCTAATATTTTTGTTTAGAAGTGAAAATGAAGTCTGTAAAAGGCTAGTTTCATTACTATTATTTTTATACCAATCCTGTAATAATGCATATTATATTATTTTTTCTTCATTCAAATATGATAGTATTATTATTAGATTACATGATTATAAGTTGCATAACTAGTAATAATAATAAAAGATGACTACTTTATCACCTTCTGACAGTTATTGTTTAAGATATATATACATAATATCTTCATATACATAATGATCATGATTTCTGATTATAGATGATATGTGACTAAATAATTTAATATTGATGAATTGTCATTTACAATCATATACAGGTATACCTCGCATTACGTCGGTAATTGGTTCCAGGAAAACGACGTAAGTCGAATTTACCTGTCTCCGAATCTACTTATCACTAGGAAAGCATTTTAAATAATATATGGTTAATAAAAATCTATTTTAAGCTTACAAACAAATAAATTTTAGTTTTTAATATAGTACAAAAAAAGTAATCTAAATTTACGAATGCATGTACTGTAAATACAGTACATACTTGTATATATTTTAATATGATTTTATGTGCTTTAAACGTTTATCTAGTGATATTACGACTTCAATATTTGTGACGGACAGACGTAAAGTCGAATAAAATGACTTAAACTTGATTTTTATTTTTCCATATACTTTTTTAACAAGCGACGTATAATCGGGAACGACGTAACTCGAAACCGACGTAAGTCGAGGTATGCTTGTACACAATTTTAATAATTAGAATTTTATATAAAAGAAGTAATATAGGCTTAGTAAAAATTTCTTACTCAACAAATGTATTTTTATGAATTGCAAACTAATTTTCTGAAGTTAATTTTACTGTTTAATGCAAGGTCATCATTAATATTGGGAATGTAACTCATAAATGAATAAAATTTGAATTTTTCTAGATCATAACTAGGACATTAATTTTAATAATAAAACATAATTATTTCCAAGAAATATGTTTATGAAATTTATGTATAATTAACAAACATGAAAATTATTTACAACAGTTAATTAATACAAATATATATTTGAAAGCCTGTTGGATGTGCTTCTGAACATCATTGTTATATTGGTCTGGTTGGGAGGAACTGAAAAACACTTATTTGGATTTAATAATTGTTTAGTAAGGATATATAATGTACACAAAAAACAAAACTGACCACAGTAATGCACAATACTAACTACTAACACCATTCAAGGTAGTTTCCAAGATTGTCCACAGTAGATTATCAACATGGAGAAGGTGGTGAATACAACTGGCTGCATCTGAGTCACTAATATATGCTAACTCTCAGCAAAACATATCCAGATGTTCTCTTTGTTTGCAAAGTGTTTTCCACACAAAAGCTTCTTTACTTTGGGAATCAAATCAAAGTTGCATGACTGAGGTCTGGTGAATATGGAGCATGTTCCAATTTACTCATTTCCATCTTTGAATAGCATCAGAAACATACTGACTGACTGCATGATAATGAGGACCACTGCATATGCCCCATGTAGACATTCAGAAACACATTTAATAAGCTTTCAAATGTATTTTAAATAAAAAAAACTAATATAAGTACAAGGCTGGCGTTATTCACATTTTAATAAATATAAAAAATATATATAGCTCTAAATGCTAATTTATCATTAAATTTATTCAGTTATTTATTCTTAACCGGAAATTTCCAGTTAAAGTAGGTCAGAACTTAACACGAATAATTTGTTAAGTTCAGCTCTACAATTGCAAATGGATCTATAAATTTTTAACTGATTTACCATCTGATATTGCTGTTATATTTTTATATGTGAAATATAAGATATCAATGTGAATAACCTTAAAAGAATTTCATTCATTTTTTAATCTAATTTTTATTATTAGAAGTTATATTGACTTCAAACAGAGCTACCTAAAATTATACTTTATAAAGTTATTAATGAGTAANTATATTTATATAATAACTAACAAATAATTACATGTATGATTATATATTCATATTTAATTATATTTTAGTTTTATTTCTATTGAAAATTAATTTTAAAATATACATTTTTAACAGAAGAGAATTCACCAGAAATTAAAGATCACCTAATTGATGAATTAGATTATATCTTAGTACCTAAAGAAGCTTGGGAATTACTAGTTTCTTGGTATGGTATCTGTGATGGACAAGAACCTATTGCAAGGAAAGTAGTTGAATATGGGATGTTTGTAAAACACTGCAAGGTAATAATGTATTAGTAATGATAAACATTTACTTTTTTTTTTATTAAAATTTTAATTTTTATTTGCATAAAAATAAATTTTTAAATATTACAGGAAAAATTATTATTATTAAAATTATTGTTTTAAAGTCTATGAAATAAGAAAATTACTTAACAAAAATCATTCTCTATAGTAATAATTAATGTACTAAAAATATTTATTTATAAATAAACTTCTATTTGTCGTATTTTATTTGTTTTCAGAAATTAACAATGGACCTCAAAAGGAGATAATTTAATTGACTTCACTATTTTATGAGGAAAATTTTTTTACAGAATTACATGATGTTATATGAGCTTTCAATTAAATTCTCTAGAATTACCATCAGTAAATTAATTACATATATAAAATTATTTTTTAATTTACTTATTATTAATTGATGAGTTTTGATTAATCAGTGTCAATGCAATTATTAATCAACCATCAGTTGCACTAAATATACTTTGATAAACAAAAAATTTAGTTGTATTGATCTGTATGTTTGTTTTATTATAAGAAAAAATGTTTATTTTTCACAATATTTTTTATTAATTCTTAATGGGACCTCTAAGATGTATATTAAAAACTGATATTTTTCAAGTAATGTTATCTTGAAAATATAAGCAAATGACAAAACAAATTTTCAATGTTTTTGAGAAAAAACATTTTTGGTTTCAAAAATTCATAAATGAGATGTTGTACATAATTTAAGAAGTATTTTATTTTAACTAAAAAAATAAATTTATTATATTAATTAATGTTTGTTTTTAACAAATAATAATAGGAAATAAATTCATAAAACTAGAAAATATTAAGTAATTTAAAAAAGGATTTCTTTTCAGTGTCTTGATTTTATTTTTCTCCTTTCAACTTTTAAATTTATTTCTATATATATATATATAATTAGAAATATAGAGAGAGAGAATTTTTTCATTTGTAATTGAAAATTTTAATTGTTTAAAAAGTATTTAAGAACTTGTATTGATGATATTTTTGTTTTTATTTCTTAGGTTGAAGTATATTTAGTTGAATTTAAATTATGTCAAAACAATGATACTGATAATTGTGTTACTAAAAAGTTTAGTAAAGTTGACACTATAGGTAAGTCATTGATTTTAAATGTAAATTTTAATTTTGTAGATAGACTGTATAATAATTTTAATTAATACAGTTGAGCTCACTTAAGAGAGCACCCTTTGGATTGCTGTGTCATGTTTCTCATCACGACTACTCCCTTCTCTGAAATAACAAGATTACCCAGGGGATGCTAATAATAATTTATTCTCTTCACTTTTTCATGTCTTTGGAACTCTATGTAACTTATATTGGATTGTTTGGAAAGTAATTTCATTTTTTTCCATGAAAAAACACAATATTTTTATAATAAATAAATATTTTATTGAATTATATATCAACCATTTTGGTCAAATACCTGTTGTCATCGTTTCTGGTAGTAGCATGATTTTACATTCATAAAAGTTTTGATCGTTGCTTACAAAAAACTGATCCAAGTGATTTTTGACATTGTCATTTCAAGTAAATGTCTTACGGTTAAAAAAAATTTGTATAGACCGGAACAAGTAATAATCTGAGTGTGCTCGATCTGGCAAATATGGTTGGTGTGATAGCACATTCCATCTAAGTTATAATGGTTTCTGACAAGTTACCAAACTTGTGTGAAATTTGACATTATCATGGTAAAACACTACACCTGTTTTGTTGATCAATTCTGGCCACCTTTTCTGTTTGATTGTTTGATGATTTTACTCAATTTGTTTACTTGATGGCAGTACACTTTCGAATCAGTTGTTAAATTGTCTGGTAAAAGCTCCAAAAAAAAAAATTCCTTAAAATCCATGTTCTTAAAGAGAGCATCTCTCTTTAAGAACATGGCCATCCAGAATGTCTGACATGGTCATCCAGAATGTGGTGCATCTTCATATTGAAATTGCCAGAATGAAATTTTGTAAACCAGTTTTGACATTGTCGTTCTGTCAATACATCATCTCCATACACATCACACAATTTTTTTCTCACTTGAACAGCATTCTTACCATTTTGGTAATAAAAGAGCAAAATATGCCTAAAATGCTGTTTTCGATCTTCCATATTTGATGGGAAACAAAAAATAAACAATTGCACAAAATCAAACAAAATTTTTTACAAATAAACTTTAAAATGCTAGTTGTCAAAATATATAATGATAATACGGTTTAGAATGAAAATGGTGGGTAAAATACGACTAATCCATCTAGTGGAAAAAAAAACCAAATTACTTTCTGAACAACCCAATAGAACACACAGAAATGTTAAAATTCATTATCACACAATTTTACTCTACTTACATGTTGATTTCCATTCGTATATCAATTTTATTGTTTTGTCAAATAATCAGTAAATATAGTGTACTAGTTACATTACTTTCACTTCTTCCTAGAAATATGGTACTCCCGCCTAGCTGAAAAAGATGTGAACGTACTTACTCGAAAATTTCTGAATACTCTCTAATAAGACATAGAGTATAAAAACAAATACTGTAGGCATGTTTTAAAGTGAAGTTGTGTGATCTCTGAAACCTGGTTGCTAATCATTTCTTGGCATGTTCACTTGAGATGAGGACATACATGTGATTTGTGCTCAGGATCATTGGAAAACTTATATGGGGCTTGGAGTAGAACAATGTTTTTTCCTTTTCTTTTTTCTAAACAAACAAAATGCATAGAATCTTTCTTATTAATAAAAGGCAGTCTTAAAGATTTTATTTTCTGTTAGTAAAAATAACATTAATTTTATAGTAGTAGGAACCACACTGGCTCCCTAAATTTTCTCTTGGCCCAAGAAAAAATTTCCAGCTCTTCACTTTCAATGGCCCTGTCTGCACTGTTTATTCATATATATATTTTATGATACTTTTTTAATTAATATGTAATTGCTTCTCATGTGTGTCCAATAAAGCCTGTTTATTATAACTGTAAGAAATCTTCACTATCAGTATATTATAAAACAGACCAGTGGAAGATTTCACCAAATTTTCACATAACATATATCATAGTATAGAAAGCCCTGCTGCCATGTGCTCTGAGCAGTGATGTACTATAATATTAAAGATAGACCCTTCTAAATCTTCCTGAAAATAGTTCTCCCTTATGTTGATTGCTGCTCTAAAAATATTATTGACAAGACACTTATTTAAATGCGTTGTTCTATTATCTGGAGCTCTGTTAACATGAGTCTCACTAATGTAAAACACAGGGGAGAAAACTAGGAGCATGGAAGAGTACTCTCGTAAGCAAAATGCTCTCCTATTTGATGCTATCCTGTTTGACTGTATATGTGTGTTAACTCAAAAAGAAATTTTAATGTTAGATTGAAATACATATTTGATGATTTGATTACATTTTTAATAATATTAAAGTATTTATTTATAGTATTGCTTTTAGTTCTTTGTTAATATAGTAGAAACGTCTTTATCATTTATTATTGAATATAATAGCCTTTGTATGTGCGTGAGTGAGTGAATTCCTTGTAACTCCTGCTGTCATTGTCCAATCACAGGCTATTTAATTTGAAGATGTATATACATATAAATTAATTTTAAATATTAAAAAAATTTGCTTTTTTTATGAGATGCCACTAGATTCAGCTCAGTGATGTACTCATGTTGCAGTGACATCATTTATCTTAATAATATCTGCATTGTATCACTTCTATAACAAATTTTTTAAAAAACTTTTCATACTGACCATGACATTATTGGCATGCTACTTGCTCATAGAAGATAGTTTGTCATGCTTGACTAGGAGAATTTCTCTAGTTATGGTATATTTTATAAATTAGTAATTTGTTAGTTGCAAAAAAACAAAGTTGCAGTTTTAAATCTTTTTAAAATGAAATAATAAGTGTTCTGTATTTTCTGACACACAATATTTTAAACAAATCTAATTAAATATATAAAGTGTGTATATTTCGTTATATAAATTAAATATAACTATATTAAATCTCAAAATTTTTATAAAATATATGCAAGTTTGTAGGCATTTGAAAAGGGAAAGGCATGAAAGAATCTTTCATAATGCATAGGACATTACATTTCTATTTTGTTATAAGGTATTTATGTAATTTTTAATCCATTCTCAAACATTACTAATTCATTAGTAAATTCATTCTGTATTAAACTTTAAATAGGTTTAAAATAATAATAATAATTTTAAACTTCAGTTTAAAACCATTATTTATATGAGAATTTTGAGTAAAATGTTCAGTTATAAAATTGGAACAGAGCTGTGATTATAACATTTAATTAATTTGGAAAGAATTCAAAACAATCACATCTTGCAAATTATTTATTTAAATAGATTCTCAAGATGTGGTTTTTTTGTATTTTGTGAATTCAAATTGTTATATTTCCTGGAATATAAATGCAGCTGTTTTTTTCTGAAGAATTTTTTTCTAAAAAATCCTCCATTATTCAAAATTAAAACAAATTTAGAGAATTTTTCTTGTGTAAAACAGTTATGTATTAAGGAAAAAGTATGATTACAAGAATACTTTAATCTTTATCCTCATCTTCAGAGCTACACAAAATATTCTCTAAAATCTGTTCTGTATTTGAATCTGAGTCATTGCTTTCTTCACACAATAAATCAGTGTTAGTTCCATAAAGAGCATTAGCGTTACTGATATCACACTTTTTAAATGGTTTAAGTTAATAATAATAATCTCTAGTTTTATTGCATTCCATGAGGTTTGCTTATTCATACACTTATGAAATTGTTAGTTTTTCTTTTTTTTAGTTGCTATTATTTTAAAATCTGAAGACTGCAATTATTCCACTTCTTCATGAATCATTGAAATGGCTTACTAATAGAAATGCTTAAGTTATAGCTGGTTAGTTAAATCTCTTGGAATTACAGCCAACTGAGTTTTCAACTAAGTTTATTTTTAATAGCCTCAGTTCTATGACAATGAAATTGATCTCATAATAGTAAAGATGGTTTAACATTCTGCAGGATACCTGAACCATACTTGTTCTGTCCACAATTTCATTCTTCTTCCATTCATGCAATGCAGCCTTTATGGTAGGCATGTATTTATTTTTATTTCAATAGGGCAAATTTTAGTTGAGTAATATGTCCTTTATTTAAAAATCAGAAAACACGGCATTTTTGTGCCATCAGAATAGCATGACAAAATGTGTAATGGTGGTTGTATTTTGGGTGGGTGGGGATAAAAACTGTAACAATAATATTTTTGCACTTTTTGATATACAGTAGAGCGTCGGTTATCTGAATCGAAACATCAGTTATCCGAAAGAATTCCAGTTGGCAAATTTAAATTTTTGCTAGTGCTGTGGTACTGCAATCTTTGGCTATATCTTGGGCTACTCCAATATTTTTTTTTTTTTTTTTTTGTTGATGTGTGTGTTTTAGCTGGCAGCACTGGCACTTTTGTGTGGTGTTTTTCTGAGGACTGTGTGTCATGCTGAATCAAACGTTTTTGATACTAGATCAACATCTAAAGTATATATTTTTTGTTTTTATATTTTTCAACATATTTATTTCGTTTGTAAAAAATAAAGAAATAATTTTTTACGATGCAATAGCCACGATTATTATTTTAAAAAGTTTACATTAGGCTTAACATTGATGAAAATTCAATGCGAAGTGACATGCAACAGAGAAAAATTTCAACATGGGATAGGTTAATATATTTTTTCGTACATAATCGGTTATCCGAAAAATAAGTTATCCAAACAACCCCAGTCCCCAATTGATTCGGATAAACGATGCTCTACTGTGTACTATTTTGCTTGAAGGCAAATTAAATGTCATAGATATTATACCTCATCCATATTTCCTAATTGTGATAGTTCAAAGTTCTATCGTTTCCTAGCATTAATAACTTACTTATGTAAGTCAATCACTTTATTTTCATATTCACTTGGCATCTTTTGTGATATTTTTTTGTGCACATACATAGGTTATTTCTTTTTATTAACCTATAATGCCAAGATGTTGAATTAGTAAATTTAACAATATCTTTGTCTGTTGCCATTTATTTTGACTGGTGATCAATCACTTTTGTAGATAGTGAAATATCAAATTTTGTTCTTTAATACACATCATTTTTTAAATCTTTATGTTCTGATTATCTTACAATTCCTTTGCAGAGATTATTTATTACATTCAATCATTTTTAAATCATTGTCATATTGTTTCCTTCTTGTTGGCATCGTTTTTTTCAGTTGGGAGCAACCGAAAATCTTGTGTTGCCATTTTACTTTGCATATGCAATGATGCTAAGTTTGAAAGCAATAGTAAAGCAATGTTTAGTTTTGTTTTCAATCATAGATTAGTAAAGGATATCTTCATATCAAAATTATTCTTTCAATCACTATATCAGTGTATTTCTATTAATAGGACTTATCATACTGGTGTATAAGATTACAGCCTCACAGTTACACAGATTAAAATTGTTTTATTTTACAATTACCTGGACACATACAATTTGCGTTTCGGACTTGTACGTCCCTCTTCAGCAGGTATTTGACAAACAAATTCTAAATAAAATTCAAACAAACTTAATTTACTGACAATATTTTTAAAATTCTTATGCCTACGATAATAAATTATAAAATTCATACTATTTTAATGTTATTTCTATTCCGTCTATCCTCCAATAATTCATTCCAATTACAATCAATATTAATTTTAAAACATTCCTGTATTAAAACCAATAATTGTTACATTAAACACTGACATTTTTCGTTAAATGTTGACATTTTACAATAAACATTAACATTTTATATATTTGTACATTTAAAACTAATTCTAACTTTCATTTCTTTTTGTCTTTCTTCACTTTCACTTTGTCTTTGCCAGTCTCTTTCATTCTCTTTATACGTCACTTTCCTGTTTGTGGCTATCATTCTTCTCCATGATTGGTGTATTTCTCTTCTGTTGTTGTTGTTGTTATTCATTCTATTGTTTTGTTTGATTATATTAATGTGTTCATATAATTATCGTTTATAATTATTTTCTTCTTTTTTTCTTATTTTAACTGATTTTAATATAATTTCACATCCTGTTGAATTGCAGTGTTCCGCTACTGCAGAATTTGCATAATTTCCACGTATTGCTCTAATATGTTCGTTTAATCTTATCTTTAATTTTCTTTTTGTCTCTCCAATATATGTTTTTTCTGGATTACAATTGCAATTAAACGAATACACTACACTTTTTTCTTCCATTATATCATTTTTTCCCCGTTTTTATAACATAGATGTTTCTTCGTTATATTGACTTTTTCTGATATTATATTAATTTTCTTATCTAATAATTTTTTGACTCTTTCAAATACTTTTGGGATATACCTTATTTTCACAAATTTTTTTCTCTTTATCTATTAATTTTTTTGATTGCTTATTGTTTTCTATATTTTTAACCCATTTATTTAACAATGTTTTCGGATAATCATTTAAGATAAACATTTTTGATAACATCATTTACTTCTTTTTCCTGTGTTTCTATCTCAGTTGTTCGTTGCCTTATTTTATTGATATACATTTTAAATACAGTCATACCCCAAACTTATGCGATAGGTGGGACCGAGCAATAACCGCATAAGTCGAATTCGCGTAAGTCGGGGTATAATTTTGCATATAAATACATACAAATTATTTTTAATTGGGGCCGGAGACTAAAGAAAACAATAATTTAGGAAAAAATAAAATCTTAATAATAAAATTTAATAAAATCTTAGATAATACATATTTATAACTAATTAAGCCTATATTATTTTACAATTTTCCACATTTACTTGATTATTATGCCATAATTTTAACATTGTTTCCATCTCAGCGATAATACTGTGACGTTTACGAATGATGCTTGAATTTAAAGATTGAGCATTTTTCACAGCTTCGAGAATTTTTTCTTTACCTTTTATAATTGTTCTGACCGTCGATTTCGGTAGATCAAACTTCTTTGCCAATTCACAAATTTTAATTTTTGTATCGAAGTCTTTAATAATGTTAACTTTACATTCCAAAGATAAAGTTTTTCTTTTCTTGTTTGATGCAGAAGAATCAGTTCTACTTCGTTTGGATGACATAGTAGAGTGTTAAGATTAATCATATTCGTTATTGTAAACCGCGCTTAAGTTAGGCGCCATCTATTCATTTCTTTTGTATGTCCGACGATCAAAAGACCGCTTGGGATCGAGTCTGTTTATAATTTGAAAGGTAATCTTGTCAGTTGTATATACAAAAGGTAAATTGTTTACAAAATGAGTCTTTGTTTATTATCTGATAAATGTATACTTTTTTCGTCAATTGTTCACGATTGCAGATGCCTTTGTGTAAAATTCAAGTCGGATGTATGTAAGCTAATAAATGTTCTCGTTAATCTTATTTCACCTTTTGGTTCGTTCACGGTTACAAGAAATCACCACATAGAGTCTCTCAAGTCTCCGTAGATATAACAAACAGAAATAAATTACACAAAATAAATTGTAGCTATGCGTCAATTCTGCGCGACACGTCTGAACACGTAAGCTAAACAATAATGTGGGGGGGAGTGAATAATCAAGAGTTGCGTGGCGCTGAAACAAAAGACGAATCGATGAAATTTCAAAATCGCGTAACTCCAGGTTCGCGTAAGTCGGGGTATGACTGTATATTATATTTCATATTAATCGGTATAATTGAATTATAATTAATTGTTTTTGGAATCTGCATAGGGTTTTACATATTTTTTATAAATCAATTTATCTTCTTTTCTTATAATTGTTATATCTAAATAATTAATACTGTTTTGTTTTTCTTTTTCTAATTCAAATTTAATATTTTCTTTTATTTCATTAGCTTTATTTATAATTGTTTTTTCATCTGTCTTTCTTTTATCAAATATTATAATACAATCTGAAGAGGGACGTACAAGTCCGAAATGCAAATTGTATGTGTCCAGGTAATTGTAAAATAAAACAATTTTAATCTGTGTAACTGTGAGGCTGTAATCTTATACACCAGTATGATAAGTCCTATTAATAGAAATACACTGATATAGTGATTGAAAGAATAATTTTGATTAAGGACATAGATGCATATTGATATCTTCATATCTTTATCATGGATTACTATAGAATTTTTAAACTAGAATATCACTAATACTATTGCACATGAAAACTGTTAGATGTGTATCTTGAAAACTGTCATTATGAAACTGCAGATTCAAGCTGTTGAGTGTTGTGTACTTGAAGAGTAGATAGATTACTCTGTTTTAAGTGGTGTCATCATTTGAGAAAAGTTCATACTCTTATGCATTGGGGGAATTATTCAGTTGGGAAAAGAAACCAGGAAAAGTTTCCATTGCAGTCTATGTAAGTTGGGAGTGTTATCTGGATCTGGAAATACTGCGTGCAAGTTGTTTAAAATGAAATTAGATACTTGAAGATTTTATTTCACTATAAGAAGTGTATCCTTTGTTGTCTTTAATTATTTAACATTATGTATATTTCAAATTATTACGTATTTCACTTGAAATCACATATAAGGGTAAAAACACAAAATAACAAATTCTGTCCAATCAAAATTCTAATTAAAATTTCAAGATTTAGTTTATTCTGGTTTTGAAACATATTTTTAGGAAAAAGCACATGTTATACACTGCAAATACATTAATTGAAAATGTTAAATTTGATTTTAAAATGTTTTATAATTTGGTATGTGATATTTGGATATAATGTTACATAACTTATTTGAAATTTTTTATAGAACATATTGAACAAGAAATGAGGAAAATATTTAAGATACCAGCAGACAAAGAAACAAGATTATGGAATAAATACAGTGTAAATACCTATGAACATTTAAATAACAAAGAAAGTACTGTACAAGATGCTGGACTTTATCAAGGACAGGTATTTAAAATTTCTTTTTCAAAAATTTAAGGAAATGTTTTAATTAATTCATTCTTTTTATTAATTACAATGCATTTAAGTATAAGATTACAAAGTTTTTACACTTACTTTGTTTTTAGTATTAAGATAGCAATTCATAAATAAAAACTTTATTTAGAACATATTGAACATATTTAGAACATATTGAACAAGAAATGAGGAAAATATTTAAGATACCAGCAGACAAAGAAACAAGATTATGGAATAAATACAGTGTAAATACCTATGTATAATATATACATAGTACTAGTGTACAGTATAAATTCATAAATAAAAACTTTATTTATGAATTGAACTGAAATTGTTAAAGAATTTTAAAATTTAAATCTATTTTTAATTGTTAACTATATGAATTATAATGATCAGTTTATGTTGCTACATCTATATATATATAAATGGGCGTGTTTGTGCCTATACGTCACTCTGCAGCCAAAACTACACATCGCACATGAATGGTGTTTGTATGTGGTAGTAGCCCCAAGTCACCCATCGTGCACTATGGTTGTTGTGTCTCGATAGCTATAAGGGTGTGAGAGATATGGGGTTTGAAAGTGATTGACTTCAAAAATGTGTGATGCTTCAATGAGAATGTTTCAGTTTTTTCTAGAAAGTTCCAGAACCTAGAGGTGAAATTTGGTACACAGTTAGGGTACGTCATGAAAATGCACACTAAGAAGGGATTTTTCAAAATTCCCCAGCGGGGGAAGAGGGAGAGCATTAAGGCTTAACCAGAAGAATGGCTTCTACTGTACTATTTTAGATGCAATTTTTTTGTTTTTAATTACGTTTAGTCTTCATTGAGTACTTAGGGGTATAAATTAATAACATTTCAGACATTGTTATAACACGAGATATTTTTTAATATATTTTTTGATTTTTTAATCAAATATTTGAACCATTTTAAATTCGGATTTCTTTTTGCTTATTGGTTCGATTATAGAACGATTGTAAATGTTCCAGAAAATTTATCAAATTTGTTTGATTCTCAGCGATTCTCATCATTCTCAGTGGTAGGTGTTAAATAACAATTACTATGGTTGTTGAAATATTGAATGTAAATAGGGTTTGCTTGCAAAATCTGCGCGAGCGAAGCTGTGGGTAACAGCTAGTTTTATATATAAACACTATCCCTGAAAAAATTTTTGGAATCATCACTCATATTTTTTAGAGTTAATGACTCTCTTATGTCATTACTGTAAGTTTGTGTATGCTTTATTACAGAAATCAACTGATAACAAAACTATGTTTCAGTATGCAAATTTCAAACAAATAAATAGCAATTAAATATCAAAAAAAAAACCTTTTTCTTAAGACAAAAATAACAAAGTCATCTTGGAAAAAGCTTTGGAATCATATGAGGCTGTGGAAATAAGTACGGAATCACAAACATAAAATCAGTATTTATAATTTGCATGGCATCCTTTGGCTTTAATTACAGTTGTGGAATCAATGCCTAAGAGTTTTTTACAGGTTTCTGCTCTGATATTATTTCAGGCATAATTAACGTTTTTTTTAGCCTTCCTTGTTTGATGGATGCTAAGAATTCACAATGCACTCAGTAAACACTACACATTTTCTATTAAATTTAAATCTGGTCTTTTCTGTGACCTATCCATTCTTTCCAAATTTCTTCAAATGAAGAATTCTGTAACTGACTGTCATCTTGGAAGATGATGTGCTCACCTCTAAACAAGTCTTCAATAATTGTTGGGTTAAGGTATCCATCCAGCATCTCTATATATTCATAGTGACATTAAGAACATGGTTTTCCAGGTCCTTGTTTTGTGATATATCGCTATATAATGACAGACTGGAGCAATGTAACTTTGCATTCCAGGTACTTGCCTTGATACTTCACACCTTTCCTTCACCACATGAATAAACAACCATCATCTTCATAGATGATGTTGCTCTTTGACTCATTGCTGAAGATGACACAAATCTATTCTAAAGATCAGTAATTTTCATTCTTTAGTCCATAACAGTCATTTCTATTGGTGAATTTTGGTTAACCTTTGCTTTATCTTAATTTTCTGATAGGAATAATGTGGAATGGATGCAATTTCTGTCACTTATATTTTACTGATCTTGGATGAAGTATCATTCAATTTCTTCAAGGTTAGCTGTAAATACCCACTTTTGAATCAAGTTTTTACAGTTTTCATTGTTATATATTTCTTCCATGTCTTAAAGTGGGCTGTGAACACAACATTGAGAATATCCATTCTTCAACAATGCAATGATATGATTTTTTATGTCAGACAGTTCAGCCATTGGAGCTATTTCAGGTGCCAATATAAAGAACCAATGATAGCAGTTCAGACACACAAAACAGTTTTGCATTAGATATTAGATAAATTGTATAAGTTTTGCCTATTTATTATATTATATTCTTATTTCCACAGCATTGTATGATATCAAACCTTTTTCTAAAATGAGTTTGCTATTTTTGTTGTAAGTAAATTTTGATTTTGCACTTAATTGCTGTTTATTTGTTTAGTGTTTGCATATTAGAACATAGTTTTGTCATAGTTTTGTATCAGTTGATTCCTGTGACAAAATTGCAGTAATGACATGAGAGACTTGATAATATCAGAAAATGTGAATAGTGATTCCAAACTTTTCCAGAGGTAGTATATAATATTATGCCTTAATTGAATTCATCAAACTTTCATGTAGAGGTTAACTGATGATTTATAACTGCATGTCTGTCCATCAACCTCATAGAAAACAGAATAGTCATGAATTTAAAGTGATCATTCAGAGATAATTATGTTATACTTATTTAATGCTGAAATTAATAAATTTCATACTACTTAAAAATAAGTGATGATGTCTAGAATTTTGAAGATGTATTTGATATATATGATTCTAAAGTCATATATGATTCTAAATGTCTGCTATTTCATCAACATTAAATGCATTCTGCAACATTATTAAAATGCATTCATCAACATTAAATTGCATGTCTGCTATTTCATCAACATTAAATGTTGATGAAATAGCAGACATGCAATAATTGTTAATTGGTTTACACAACCTGAAATTCTGATAAACATAGAATATAATGAGTATTAAAATCAAAAATATATATTAAAAGTTCAATATGAGATATTTTCCCAGAGGAATTTTTCTAACTAAAGCTATTTTACATTTACTGTGTATAAATATGCAATATTATGAATATACAGTGGAACCTCAATATACGACCTTAATCCGTTCCTGATGTTTGGACATATACTGAATAGGACGTATACCGAACCAACCTTTCCCATAAGAAGTAATGTAAAAATGATTAATTCGTTCTCATGAAAAAAAAAATGGCTGGCTTTAAACACCTCGCTTTCCTGGCTAGCTTTCCTGCTTGATTTTTTTCATGTATCTTTTTAGCTTTCTCGCAAATAATTGCTTTTGATACACTATCTCTAGCATACTATTTTTTCAGTTATCCAAAGCAGAAACAATTTCTTAACATGATCTAATGTCTTCGATCTCTGTTTAGAAATTGATTTAACCCCTTTCACAACATTAACAGATTTAATGTTTTTATTTTTCATGATTGTCGATATCATCGTTCTTGGAATACGGTATGCAACAGTTAAAATCTCGAACATGTGTGCCACCTTCATATTTCTCAACAGTCTCTTTTTTCAGTTCCATTGTGATTCTAGTCATTTTTTTAGTTTCCTGTTGCTTTTCATTTGCCTTTTTGCAATTCATGATTAATAAAAATAATAAAATTTTACTTACAAATTAAAATCAGAAGAAATTTAACAGACTGCGAATGTCTAGTCTGGCCTAGTACACCAATAGTGATACTTGTTCATAGATGGCGCTTATAATTGAATTAAGTTGTATACTGAACAAAAGTCATATACCAAGCAAAATTTGTTTTGTTCAAACAGGACGTATTCCGAATTGGATATATTCTAAAGCAGATGTATACTGAGGTACCACTGTATATACTTAAAAATTAAAATAAATGCCTAACACTTCAATTTTATAAAAATTTTATTTTACATATAATATTTTTTTTAAATCAAATGAATTTTATTTTAGGTGATCATAATTGAACAAAGAAATGATGATGGTACCTGGCCAAGACAAGTAAAAAGGTGAATGTTACTATTTTAAATGAATTGAATTGTAAATGGTCTTTAATTGCAAATAATACTGCATAACTAAGGATTTTTTTGCCCTGCCAGGGTGTGGCCGAGTTATCCAGACCACCAGGTTATCGAGTGCTGAGTTTTCAAGCCACTTTAATAATATATTTACTATAAAAATATTTGTATCTGGCAATCAAAACAGAGAACTTGTATTACATTTTAAAGTTTGTATGGTTTGTTCTATAATACTAGATATATTGCTCTCATTCCTGATGCCCACTAATCAGTTATAATAACTACTTACTATGGGAATAGTCGTATCTGGCAAAACACAACGGACAACATTTTATGAGTTATTTCATAGATCAGGGATGTCCAATCCACGAGCTGCACCCTAAATTTTTTAGGTATATTTTCATTTACTTTGGTAAAGTATGTCATAAAAATTTTTCTCATTACACTGGATACCCTTTGATGTCATAATGACGTAATTGGTGTTATAAAACTGTTTTATCTAGAGAACTGTTATGAATGTGGGGTAGTACATACTGTTGTGAATAATTCTTTTTGTGCGTGAAAAATATCAAAACTGCTGAAAGAAATAGATTGAGTGATTCCCATTTAATTAACATTCTTAGAATTAAGACTAGTACCATAAAAGCAGATATTGACAATATTATAAAAGGAAGGAAATGTCAAAAATTGCATTGAATTTTATTTTGTGCGAGTATAATTTCTTTTTTTACTGTCAATAATACAGTATTTTTTGTAATTATATGTATTTGTTATTAAAATTTGATATTCACATTTTGATCTTTTTAAAAGCATATATTTATATAAAGTACATTTGTGGCCCACTGAATACACCTAAATTTCTAATTGGTCCATTAGGAAGACAGGTTGGACAACCCTGTCATACATGGTGCCATATTCGATTGCTGACTATGAGATAATTTGTAGTTGGCAGTCAGTATGCTAAAATATTAGATATAAACAAAAATAATTTTAATTATGCAAAATAAAACTTTTCTGGTGATCAGAAGAACTTTACAAGATGATAAAATAAATATTAAAATTTTAATAGTTTTTATATTTTCATAAATTTTTTCCTTAAGAAAACTTACAAAATAACAGTGAACATTTTTTCCACTATTTAACAATAGAGGAGAAGGTGGTATTATGGAACCCCAATTACATTTTAGTGAATTGTAAACAACGTATCATAACTACACCCACATTTTTTGTGTGGAAAGTACTGGTAACAATTAAACTAAATGTTCCTAATTGGATTTTTTGCTAGTGTAACTATAAGTATGGTTTTTGAAGGTTTTTGTACAAAAGTCAGAAAGTAGGCTTAGAGAAAATCGGGTGGTAATATGGAACCTTACTGTATATTTTCAAAAAATGCTTTAATCTAGCCAAAAACAAATAGGAAAGTACAAAAAATGTTAAATAATTACAAAATTACTTACTCCAATTAACTCTAATTTACTCCAAAATATGACCTCCATCAACAATATATATTCCAGCAGCTCTTTTTTGATATTCTCAGGAAGAATTGACTTTCTACCTAGTGTCTTTTTCACAAATTGCTCCGGACGAATGTCTGCTTGCAAAGAGAGAGTTTGGAGGAGTTGAGTTCCATATTACATATAAAAGCACCAATGGGGTCTTTATTTCACGCATCGCCATCTTGAATTAACTTATGTCTGTCAAGACCAAAATTTAAAAAACATGAACATCACACAGATTATGTACCCCTAAGTCTCTGGAATGGAATAGATGCACCAGTGAACCTACAACTACACAATTTATATTTTAAAAATAATTAAATTCACTTAGCATTCAACACTTGAGAATTTTGAAAAAAAAACAAATTTGCTGATTAAATACGGACAACCGTTTAACTGAAGTAAAAGGGGTTTCTCCTTGCTGTGGATGTTTAGTTCAGTTCAGCCACAATCTGCTACAGTTCGCCTTTATTATCAGTTCGAAATGGGGTGGTTCCATAATACCTGCAGTGTTCCATAATATCACCTTTTCCTCTAATAGTTACTTTTTCTGCAAAATATTACATTATAACTTTATGAAAATTTTTAAAATTATGTTTATTTTATTACTGAAGACAAATTTATTTTCTTCACATAACTTATATCTAAATTTTGTCTCAGCACAGGTTTCTTTAAAAAATGCCTGAATTTTATACAAGACATAACTAGTGAATAATACAATTTAATTAAATATATACATATTTTTGAAATTTACATTTTATTCTTCATTATGCTAGGGGGAAAAAAGGATGTTTAAAACTATTTTATTTACAAAAGTTAGATACACTTTTCAGCTACTTTTCTATATAATTACCATTTTGATTTAGGCATTTCATACCATGGCAGCAGGTTTTCTCTATCCTCATTAAAAAATGCTACAACCTGGCCACTTAGCTAACCCTTTACAGTGGCCTTCAACTCCTCATTAGTTTGGAGCCACTGCACTCCTAACCACTTGTGAGTTGAATAGTTAGAACTCACTTGGTGCTAAAGTCTGAGCTATACTGCATTTGATCAAATATTTCCCATTTGAATTTATAGAGGAGTTCTGTTGCATTCTATGACCATCACCTTAGCCACATACTATGAGTGAGAACTATGATGGAGAGTATGAAACAAGAGTGGAGGAATGTAGTTCTCCACAACAATACTAAATAACATTTTAATTTTTAGTGTTATTAACATTATAATACAAACTGCTAAATTGCAATTACAATTGTAAAATATTTACTGTTGCAAAGAATTCTAGGGTAAAGTTTTCTTTTGGAACCGCTAGCATCCATTTATATTTTAATTCTATCTTTGAAAAATCTGAAGTTTTTTTTTCTTTATACGGACACACTAAAGATTTAGTTATGTTTTAAAGTTTTTTGACATTTAATTCAAAATATTTATACTTGACATTTGAAAGTTTGGAAATATTTTAGAAGTGTATTGAGTGTAATGGAGGACCGCACATGTGTTCAACGAAACATGACCGTCCATCACCCATCTGTTTGATCATCACTAAGACTGCACTTAATGGAATGCAGTAAACAAGATTTTGTTAAGTCCATGACTATGCTTTAAACTGAAACAATATTTATTCACGAACAAATCGTACAAGTACACTTAAGAGTTACATGTTCTCTGGCAGCGATCACCCGACAAGAAGAAAACTCTCCCAGCATCCCGTGTGGGAAAAAACTATTACATTGAACATTTTTGTGTATGAGACTCTGTAGGCACTCACCAGAGGAGTGGCGCCATCTCTTGAGTCCGTGATAAACTAACTGGGCGCTGCAGTACCCCCTCCTAGCGACAGCGGTCGATGAATCTCACTGGGGGTTTGATTTTGTGGCCGTGTTGTGAGGTCTTTGTCTCACATATGGGTCTGCTTGGTGGTTATGCCCAGCCACTGTGTTGCTGGGTTGGTCTATTACAGGCTGTGTATGGCTGATTGAGTCTTTCTCCCTGAGCATAAAGGCAGGTTTCAGTCTGTTGATAGAGACAACCACTTCTTTGCTATTTTTTTAGAATTCTGAAGAAGTTGTCCTCTTCTCCACCAGGGGGGAATGGTCCATTGCAGGGAGGGCGCAGTAGAGCACATACGACATCGTAACGTAGAAAAACGTAGCTACAGTCTCTTAAATGCAGAGCCCAAACAAAAAGTTTGGGCTCAGCATGCAATGCTGCCCGTGTTGGTGTTAAGTTTTTGAAGTTGGTGTCTTTATGAAATGGACAGTGTTTGTCTGCTGGGGTAGGATAGAAGAATTCACCTGGTAAACGTATTGTCTGTCCATAGACTAAGTCACCAGACGTTGTTTGTAGGTCAGGCTTGAACGTTGTCCTTAACCCAAGTAGTATGGTAGGGAGTATCTCCATCCACCTTTCTGTTAAGTAGGTTTTCAGGGCACACTTTAATGTCCAATGCCATCCCTCAATCATACATGCTTCTTTCACCCCCAGGCTAATGGTATGTATGTGATTGGAACCCATTAAGATAGCCAAAGACCGAAACAGATGTGATTCAAATTGGCATCTTTGGTTAGTAGTAATGACCCCCGGAATGCCGAACCGTGCTATTAACCGTCTGGTATAAGGCTTTAGCCACAGTGTTGGCCTCTGTATTCTGCAGTGGTTCTGCTTCAACCCAACGAGTATACCTGTCAATCATAGTGAAACAATAGCAATGTTTACCAGAAAGAGGGAGTGGACCAATAAGGTCGATGTGAATGTGATAAAAACGTTTGCTTTCCACGGGGATGCTTGTAATTGGACTTCTAGTATGCCTAGTAATTTTGACATGTTGGCAGGGAATGCACATGGTTGCTCACTTGCAACAGTCATCCTCCATGCCCAGCCATACAAACCGATCAGTTATTAGCTTCACCGTGGCTTTACTGCCTGGGTGTGAAAGGTCATGCATGGCATGGAAAACTGATTGCCTTTGCTTCTTGGGGATAACAGGGCAAATTTTACCGGTGGACACATCGCAGTAAAGTTCTACTTGATTTTCCAGTAGTAATAGTTTTTTTAGCTGAAGCCTGGTCGAACTATTTCCCAAAAGTGATTGGAGGATTGGGTCGGTCTTTTGCACGTCAGCAATTAATTTGTAATTTATGGGAGAAGGGCAAACAATAGATTCGACTCTGGAAAGTGTATCAGCCGGAATATTATCAGTTCCTTTTATGTATCAAATGTCAGTGATGAACTGGCTTATATAGTCTAATTGACGTAATTGTTTGGGGGAACATTTTTCACTTTTCTGGAGAAATGCAAATGCCAATGGCTTGTGATCTGTATATAACATGAAAGGCCTAGCTTCCACCATAAAACAAAAATGCTTAATTGCTGAGTAAGCGGCTAACATCTTGCCGCCAAATATTTCTTCTTCATATCCATGAGTTTATGCAGAAAAAAAACCTAATGGGTCTGAGCCGGATTTAGTGACCTGATGCAGCGCCGCGCCAAGGG